AAGACACCCAAACCCCTGACTGTGACACCACCCTTTTAACCATTTATTAACCTGACCAATCCTCCTAGCTTTTCTTCGGTCCTCCCCTGTATCCTGGAGAATAGACAAAAAGACTATCTGAGCTCCAGAGCCCCTAACCACCTCTCCCAGGGCTCTGTAGCCCTTCTTTATGTTCCCCAGGCTACTACTATCTATATCCCTAGCACCCATATCTATCACTGGAAGTGGGTAATAGTCCGTGGGACTTACTAGAGCAGGCAGCCTCTCTGCCACATCCCTGATCCATGCCCCTGGTAGGCAACACACCTCCCTTGAGACTGGGTCAGGCCAAGATACAAGTGCTTCTGTTCCTTTCAAAGTAGAGTCCCCTACTACTACGACCTGCTGCTTTTTCCTGGCAGCACCAGTAGAGATCTCCTTTACCAGTGCATCAGCCAGCTGTTTCTGGTGCGAGTGCATTTCCTCATTAGCCTCCTGCAGGACAGCAAAGCGGTTCTGTGTGGGGACAACAGATTTAGGAGGAAGCCCCTTGCTTTTAACTGTCCTTTTCCTCCTTTTTTTGTTGTTGCTTTTTGTTTTTTGTTTGGTTTTTTTGTTTGTTTGGGTTTTTTTTGCCACTAATTCCCAGCTTCCCGGGTTAACGGCCTTCTTCTTTCCTTCATGAGCTACAGCGGAAGCTTGAGGCCCCTGCACAGTTTGGGCAGGGAGCAAGCAGTCCAGCTCCCTCTCAGCTTCCCTGACATCTTGCAGCCTATTGACAGCATCCCGCAGCTCAGCCCCTGCTGCAGGAGGACCTCCACCAGGGAGCACCGAGTGCAGCCCTGCCCATTGTGCACCTGTCCCCCACCAGAGCACTGCAGGCACTCTCTACACTCCGAGCTCTGCACTGCAGCCTCCCCTCTCACCGGCTCTGTCTGGGTGCCTACGGTGGCCACCGCCGGGGCAGCCAGAGCAGAGCTCCCAGACCGGGCCCTGGTCATACGACGAGTGCTCACCATCCCGCTCGCCTGCCCACTCGAGCTGCCTCTACCCGCTCTGTTCACCCGCTCCGTTTGCCCACTCCGCTCCCTGGGGCAGGTTTTTACCCAGTCAGAGCTAGCGCCGTTCCTCCTGGCTCCGCCCCCTGTGAGTCCCAGCTCGCGTCAGCTGAGCTGCCGGCTCCGGGGCAGGTCCTGTCCAGGACTTGAGGCTCCCTCGGTGGCTCTGCTCTCGTCGCTCTGAGTTGAGGCTCCTGGATGCTGATCTCCCCCCCGGCTCCGGTGTTGAAGGCATCCTCTCTCGAGCTACTCACATCAACAATTCTAAGAAGGCAACAAGTATTAGAGTTGCAAAAGTAGTAGGAGAATATTTGAAAGAGGGATGATTTGGTTAGGTAAAGCTTTCCAGAAGTGAGAAACAAGGAAAATCTGTGGTGAAAGAACCTCAGCTTGTGAAATTTAGAGTCAAACCAGTGAAAGCCTTTAACAGAGCAGCTCCTTGAACAGCTGAGATACTCCCTCATGCTCCTGGCAGAGGGAGATAAAACTTGCACGCTGTCTCATATTCTTTAATCTGGGGGCTGCTTCTTTCAGCAAAGGAGTCCATTTCTCCCCTTCACTACTCCAGGCTCAAGAATTCCTTCAACAAAGGAGTATCTGTACAGAATATTGCCCCTCTCTTGTTTCTTTGGGTCCGATACTTGGAAATGCTGCTTTCAGTGCCTTTTCTCAAAAATACAGGCACTGGTTCTGAATTTTCTAAATCCATTTTATTTTTCTAACACAAGCTGTTGCTGAGTCATATACTATTTTACAGGTATAGCATATACTATTTGACAGAGAAAGGCATAGATACTGAGAAAAAACTTAAAATTTGTTGCATTGCCTGGCTTTCCATTAGAAAACCTTTAAGGGTGTCCATTCTGAGAAAAAACTCTGAAAGCACCTAACCTACTTAGTAAATATGCTCTGTTTAAGAAGAACAGGATGGAAGAAGTAATAGTTTAATAGAGAAAAAAACCACCAGTGACCTAGAACCCAGCATGCCTCCGAAGGGAGAAAATAATATCTGAGCTGACTCCGTTCTCTACCAAAATGATAGGGATTTTTACCAGAGCTGGGAACTAGCACACCACAGGATATAAAGATTTAAGTGACCTGGTCTTTGTAGCAGAAGGGATGAAGGAGGCGAAGATGCTTTAAACAAGGTTTGAAGAATTCTCCCCTTTGAGTCACTAGGAGAGAAATATTTTGTGAGTTAGGGGCCAGAATTAGCTGGTCAGACTCTAAATCAGGACTATTCAAGCAGTGGCTCCAGCAACAGCTGCAAGGCAAACCAATTTTGCTTAGGCTTTGCCAAAGAGTTGTACAAGAATAAAGGGTAGCTAGCTGCAAGGATCAGATGGAATGGCAACTATGAGCGCTTTCTCTTCTTCATGTCCACAGGCACATTCAAGGTCGGAGACAGTCTCATGAGAAATTGTGTAATTCTGCCTATAGCCTTCAAGGCAGGGGCTGCTCGGGATCTGGTCCCAAGATGTTCTGTTCTACTTAATAATGTTAGGATCCATTCTGAGTCTTTAAGAAAACTGGCACTGCCATTGCTACCGCAGACACAGAGCTGCCTTGTCAAGGCTGGCCTGCTGAGGTGTTCAGTCAGCAGGAGGGGAAACACCTCTTGGCCCTGTGTAAGAGTAGAGAAGTACATGATTCAGTATTTTTTTATGGGGGTGGTTAAAGGACTTAATAACAAGACTTGAAGGATTCTCAGTGAGGCTACAAGAGGTCAAAAGTAAGTCAGGAATCATGACAACATAGAAGCCAAAACCCAAGACCTTAGGAACACAGCTTCTGTAGGAATATCCATCATTTAGACTCTTCTTAATTTGGCTTGCAGAGAGATGAAGACAGTTGAAAACAGCTCTGCTGAGCTCTTCATGAGATTCTGCCCATGTTACGCTCTTGTGAGACCCCACTTGGAGTATTGTGTTCTGGTTTCCTCAACATAAAAAAGGACATGGAACTGTTGGAACAAGTCCACAGGAGGCCACGAGGATGATCAGGAGACTGGAGCACCTCCTGTATGAAGATCGGCTGAGAAAGCTGGAGCTTTTCAGCCTGGAGAAGAGAAGCTGTGTGGAGACCTCATAGCAGCCTTCCAGTATCTGAAGGGGGCCTACAGGGATGCTGCAAAGGGACTCTTCTCCAGGGACTGTAGTGATGGCACAATGGGTAATGGGTTCAAACTTAAACAGGGGAAGTTCAGGTTAGATAAGGCTAGATAAGGAAGAAGTTATTTACTGTAAGGGTGGTGAGGCACTGGAATGAGTTGCCCAAGGAAGCTGTGAATGCTCCATCCCTGGAGGTGCTCAAGGCCAGGTTGGACAAAGCCTTGGGTGACATGGTTTAGTATGAGGTGTCTCTGCCCATGGCAGGGGGGGTGGAGCCAGATGATCTTAAGGTCCTTTCCAACCCTAACTATGCTATGATTCTATGATTCTATGATGTTGGGTTTTGGCCTTATAGTGTAAAGCAGTTAGAATATATTTCTACGTCCCTTCCTGCCAAATCTGGTTCTGCAGGCTGGTGCTGTTGGAACCGTGATACCTTGTGTAAAAGAATTAGCATACTGGGAACAGAAAGGTTAACCTCTTCAAATTTCACAATGACTCTAAAAATGATCAGCCTCCCTTCTAACATTTGAAAACAAAAGTCCCAAGAAAATTGCAAATGCTGTGATGAGCAGCAAGCAGTAAAAGATAAAAACCATCGTTTGTTTTGCATTAAGGCCAACTTTTTTGTAGTTTCTGTGACCACACCAAGGTCTCACGATGACTGACTGGGCTTACACTGGATTTACTTCCTAACATTGCAAACTCCTGTTATATGCAATCTTGAACATAGAAATAATTGACATCAGTAATGTTGGAATGTTACATACTGCTGAGGTCGAAAATAAGGAAGGGAAAAACAGAAAGCCTCTTTTTGCTGCAATTTTCATAGTCTGTTGCTACTATTACTTCTGTGTTGTATATGAAAGCTGTTTCATTCCCAGGTGACATTCATGGAAAGGTCATGCTGTCTTCAGCTTCACACCTGAATAAACTCAGTTTCTTCCACTGTATGTGATGTCATAACTAATGCTTACTGAGGCAGTGCATTCACCAGTGTAAAGAGATGAAAATAAAGCAGTTTCAGTGCAAGCTTAACTTCTAGTTTGAAGCAGGATAACATGGAGGCAGAAAGTTGAAAAGGTGAGCTCTGCCATGTCCTCTCTCACCTGAGAGGAGGGATGTCTGCTCTGGTTCAGACATCCCACAGTGCAGCCCTGCAAGCATATTCTTAGTGTAAACAGGGAATCAAGTCCATGGGCATCAACAAGCCAGTGATTTTAGGCTTCTGCAACTATGGGGGAGTTTCTCTAGGTGGAGAGGGGTGAAAATGAGGGCAGATTCTGGTCCAATTAGCCCTGTGTGAAGCCAGGCCTTCAGTATCCCGGTATAACTACATGGTAAAATCCTTCAGTGCAGCCTATTGCAAATGCATAACACTCTGCAGAAATGATACTGGGCATGCCTGCCAGGAGCCTTGAGGCAGATGCTCTCTCCCATTTACCACAGCACTGCATCATCTTGGCTGAATCATGTCATTGCCAGTATATACAGATTCACTAAAATGCGTCAAAGCTCCCACAGCAGAGACACTGAAATGCATAACCTGATTTACTGTCTCTTCAGTGTATGGAGGGGGGGAATAGGCGGTCTACACACACACATACACTCATACAGACACGCGCGTGTGCGCATGCACAGCCCAAGGGAGGTAAGTCCAGCCCCCAGCAGCAGGACCATCCTTCTGCTGCTGGATTTTTCCAGCTGGAGCATCTTGCCGGCTCTGCTGTAATTTATGGAAATTGGTTTCTGACGTGGGGCTTTTTCTGTTACGGCAGGGACCCACGGACTGAAGAGGAAAAGCTGCAGTCAGGGCAGGAAAAGAGAGGGAGAGAAAGAGGTGGGGGGGGGGGGGCAGAGGGACAACAAGGGAGTGGGGAGGGCAGAAGGATAAAAAGGTACAGACACTTCAGAGATGTGTGAGTTATAATTAAAAGTGCCAGAAGAAAGGCAGAGAAAGGGGGAGAAAGAGAGCTATAGGGAAGGGAAAGGTGCTCAGATACTGAGTCAGCCTTAAGGAAGGCAAACACCAGAAGACAAGTTCAGGGAATACCTCAATATACCAAGAAGGACCTGTTCTGTCTGAATCTTCACCATGAGCACAAGGAAGGGCTGCCCTCTGCCACTGGAACAAGGAGACCGGGAGGAAAAGCATAGTGAGGGTACTTCTGACCTGGAGCGACAGGAGTGTGAGGTGGAGCTGAGGAACAAAGCTATTCTGCAGCAGAAGAGGCGCCTTAAACAGGCTACCCAGTTTGTGCACAAGGACTCTGCTGACCTGCTGCCCCTGGATGGCTTGACAAGGCTTGGCACCTCCAAGGATCTGGTAAGTCCAGTGGGACTCCACCTGAGATGCATCGTCCTTACAGCCTTCATCCCAGCTGGGAACTGCTGTGGGGAGGAGGCACGGGAGTGAGGCCTGTGGCCATCTCCTTGTGGAGATATGGAGCAGAAGGCATCGGGGATGGGGGGCTGTTCTGGGAGCTGGGGCAGTCCATGGCCTGGTGGCACTTCCCCAAGGGCTGGGAGCAGTTTCCACAGTATCTTTTGCCAGCTTAACTGCACTTCTGCTGGGTTAACTGCACACTTCTCCCCCTTGCTGTGGTAGTTTTTCTGTCTAACTTCTATCCACTGTGGAGTTTAACTGCTCAAGGATGTGGAGGTCTAAACCATTTTCCCAAAAGAGGGCCTACGTCCGGCCAGTGATGAGGGCAAAGCCCAGCTGTGCCAGTGTGTATCATAAAAGAACTTGTCCCTTTCTGCAGCCCGTGCTTCCCCCGTGTCCTCAGACCATCGCAGCAGCAGCCATGGCTGCTCATCTGTGTGTATCCCCAGTGGTTGTTTTCAGACCACTGTGGCAGGACGCATGGCTGCCGGCAGCGAGGTGCTGCTGTGCATGGGCGCACACGTGCATGGGACAGGCAGTGTCCCAGGCGCTGGGCCTGGATGGAAACTATCCTCCTTGCTGAAACCTTCAGGTGCAGAAGCTCTGTTGTGCACAGACAAGGGGTCAGTGCCCTGTTCCCCTGCTCCCACCACCCTCCCCACAGCCACCTGCAAGTCCCACAACCAGCAGGGTCAAGGGTGGCTCCTTTAAGTCACCCTGAGGTGCTGCCTCATCTCTGGCAGCCCTAAGCAGCTGCACATGGCGGTCAGCAAGGAGTAGTCTTGAGCGTCCATCTAGCCCTGAATACAACTAAGCCTGTGTCTTGTACTGTCTGAAGTACAAGAGGGGATCACATAAGTGTTGTGTTAGCAGGGAACAGGACCTTCCACAGGGAAGGTGGTCTGGCCACACCAGAGCCTGAGGCCTCGGTCAGGCTGGCAGCATGGGCAGGCTAGCTCCGGCCTTACATGTCCTACTGCATTGCAGCTGAAACATACCCTCAGGAGGGGATAGCCAGGCATGCCCCTGGGTCTTTGTTGTACAGCTTTCATCAGGGGATGGGGAGGAGACGCTTCTGAATCTTTGAGTGTTTGCTGAGCCCACCCACAAAGGCAGAAAAACATATCTACATGCTTTGCTTCGGGATTGACTCACACCATGCCCTAAAATGACAGCTGAGGTGCCAGCCAAAGACTGTGAGAATCCTGCACAGTATGGGTGGCAGTCTTGGCCTCCAGAGGCTGGCACTCTGAATCCCTAAATGCTTGCTCTAGCAAGACAGGCCTTGTCCAAATCACTTGCCATGAGCAGCAATTGTCATTTGACGTCCTGGTCAAATTAAGCATTCTAGCCAGGAGATTTCCTTGCATGCATAGGCAGCTTTCTGTCATTGAAAAACTCTGCATAGTTCATGTTTGATCCATAACAGAATGGCTGAAACATTTTTATCAGGGAGCTAAGGAGCAGTGAATAAAGCATAATGTCCTTTCTGCCATGGCACTGTTGTGCTGGTGTTAGAAGGCAGCAAATAAAGTGTGTTACCCATGCAAAGTTTGCACACACCATGCAATGCCTGGGGTCAACGAGGTAACTCTGGTACCTCTGTTTCTGGTTCACTTTGGGGCAAGAGAAGAACCAGGCCTTTGATTTCCAAGGCCAATTTAGCAGTCCCTGAAACTTGATGGTCACTGTGATACGACTGTGATGTTTTGGGGGTTACAGTCCCAGATATGCTTTCAGGCACTCCTCCAGCCCCATGTAAAACTCCATCTATGTGCCCTAAATTGATCTGACTCTCTCCTGGAGGACAGGAAAACAAAGCAGCTGGAGAGGTTGATCTTGGAGAGAGTGCAAAATATAAAACATCCCAGACTCCTATAGCACCTATACTGGGAGGAAAGTTTAATTAATTCACCAAAACAGGTCTCCATTGACAATGCAGAGAATACAGCTGTGGCGGGTCCATGTGTCCTAATATTAGAGCAAGGTCCAATGTTGTTTAAAAGCTACATGTCTTCTTACAAACCGAAAGTCAGGCTGTTACTTTTTGCCACTCTTTTCTGTGCTGCGTAATTGTGGGTATTCATTCAGCTTATGTAAAGCACCCAACAGTGTCTGGGGTTTGATAGGCCCACCCGATCTCCAATAATGAGTAATTATACATTTCAGTGGAAACCTCACATTTCCAGTTTTATAACAACTACATGTGTGATACTTTATTTCTTTTTTCAATGTAAAAAAACGAGTAGCTGCATGAGCTAAAATATTATGAAAGTCTGAAGTCCTGCCTTTTTCCTTTCCCAAAGGCAAGATCCCCAGCTCGTACCACTTCACCAGTCATAGTAAAGCCTTCAGATTTCACATTGAAGAGCCTCAATGTGATGAGTTGCACTTGAGAATCTGCTCTGGCCCTTCTAAGTGCCCTGAGAGGGCCTGCCTTCCAGATGTTGGCCACAATCCCCTTCAGGTCCTCTCCTTCCTCTTCATCTCACTGTTTCTTACCAACCCAAGAGAGACGATGGTCTCCACTTTTCTGTCCCACCAGTGAGACAGAAGACAAGAAGGGCCCCAGGAGTCTGTTCTTGAATCAGATGCACCCACAATCCCAAAACTCAGCTACTCCCCATCAGTGCTTGCCTCTTCCCAGCCTGAGTGACAAGAAGGGGATAGATGTGGCAGATGCAAAGGGCCTGCTCTTTCTGTGGGAAAGGCTGCAGGGAGAAGGAAAAGTCCTTTGCATGCTATATAGTGAGAGGAAACAGGAGGAAGGATGGGAATTTGGAGACCTGCTGTCAGTTTCCTGCCCTTTCCCATGGCCCAGATGTTAGCTGGCAGCCAAACTGGTACTGCGCTCAGAGTATTTAGGGAGTGAACTATGCTGTGGGCTTGCACAGTTGGCTAGGAAAAGACTAGGAACAGAGAGATACTTTTACCTCACTTTTTTAACTACTGCAGTGTTTTTCATGCAGTATATCACTTGCCCCTTGAGTGACAGGGAAACAGAGGCAAGAGGGACTTGGCACTCTGCAAAGAGCAATGCTGAGTGCAAAGAGCCAGTAACAGCTCTCCTGCTCCAACCATTGGGCAAAACTGACAAGTTAGTGTGCTTTGACTTGCAATTTACACAATTCCCTGGCCTCAGCTCTCTGACCTAGCATAAAGCTACACTGAAGCACACACACACTGTGGGGTTAATACAGCCCAGTTTACTGGCAGGTCTGCTCTAATTCAGATGTTTAGCCTGCACATTGCTAAGGTCATATGTCAAACTGATGCACCATTGGAAGTTGATTTTTGTAAAGCTACCTCCAACAGGATGACTTCATTGATGCTGCTTATTGTTGGCTGTGCAGGGACAGGCTCTGCTATCTCAATATTGGGCAAGAAATAGGGCATCAAGCTGATAACAAAGGGAGCTTTCATTCCAAAGCCACACTTTTCTCGGTGTGTATGCAATACTGGGACATGAATACTTTCACAATTTTTCTTCCCTTTTGGTGCACCTCCCTTATTCTGCCCAGAAAAAAAGAGACAGGAATGAGGAATACAAGATACTTGAGATATGACTAAGAATCATGAGATGTAAATGAAGTTCCTTCAATCATTGATTGGGCTGATGGCGTTCCCTTCTAGCTGTGAACAACATAGGGCTTCATAGATGCTCCTCCAACTAGGGAGCCAAAATAGTACCACTTCTGATGGAGGGGAACAAAGACAGATGCCAAAGAACGTTAGAAGCTAGTTTTAAGTTCCTATGCAGTGGAAGTTTCCCGCTTTACTACCAATAATTGCTTGTGCACCTAAAATTTCTGGAATCCTGCCTTCTTACCCATGTGTACATCATACACATGCTGTGTCCCCTATCCCCTCCCATATTAGAAGGTGTGAGTGTGCCTGGTTGGATGTCAGCACACACACATCTGGTAGTGTACTGCAGTACCTGAACGCATACGAGACTGCTGTGTGCATGTTTAGCTGAAGGAACAGATATGTATGGGGAGAGCGTGCATCAGGCATGTTCTTTTCCTCCAGTAATTGCATCCCAGAGATCTGCCTGTCACAAGCATTCCAGCACTTTAACATCACCTTAGCAGTTACAGAAACAATCTTGGGATTTAAAGAAATCTGTTTTGGGGTAAGCCTGTCTTTCATCAAAAAAGGTCAAACATTTGCAGTCTTCTTTCCTGGCCTAGCAAATGTCCTTGTTCCTTAGAGCCATACTTAGCTGAGATTTCTCTTTCTTTGTGATGGAGACAGCAGCCACATAGTGTGGTCCAGCGGCGGCTCCTGGAAGGCAACCTGAACAAGCTGCGGGGCGAGACCAGGGTTCAGTCTGCATGGGTTCAATCTCCACTGGCAAAAGACCATGAAGAAAAGATGGAAAAGAGAGAGGATAAGAGAAAAGAGACTTCATCCCTGCTAATACAGTGCCAGGTAAGGCAATAACTTGGTGCTGCTGATTCCACAGTTATGGCAAATGTTCTATGAATTCCAGCTGCCCCACTCCCAGGGGCCATGCTAAGTTATTAAATGCAAGGCCAGCTGTAGCCAGAGAGATAATATTTCCTGCACAGCCTTTCCTAGAGCCTGGATTCAGTTCTTCCAACAGACAGAGGAAAGCCTTTCTGCCACATGCATTCTAGTTGTCCATGTTTAAAGATAAATTACCTTAATCACACCACCTTCCTTTGGAGGACAGCTTTCCCATGACGTGAGATATTTCATAACTGCATACAGAAGCAACAAATATCTCCTTATCACTTTGAGACAGATGCACCTAGTTGATTTACATTTACAGGATACAGCCTTGTCTGATTCTCTTAGGTGTCAAAGGACCTCCTAAGAAAGTAGGTAAATGTGCTCTGAATTAGCACTATGGCATTTCTTTATGGAAGCAGTATTTTTAGATCCCTTCTCTTCTTATACCCTCCTATACAGCAGAACGCACTACTCCCTGGCTCCTGTAGTTAAGAAAGCACATTCAAAAGCTGTGCCACATGAAAGAGGGCTCCATGGTTAGAGTTGTTCAGCAATATGCAGATAAGAGACTCACCAGGATACAGACCAGGTACACAAAATCAATTTTAAAGCTGTGTTTATTTCAGTTACCTTTCCTAAAGAACATCTCACATGTTAGAAAAACACATATACCTTTGAAAATTCAGTTGTCTCCATAAATTATCATATGAACACAATCTGGTAGCAAGTTTCTGAAATGTTCAGGTGTCCCAGTACCATGCAAAGCCATTATCTGCTTTATTTTCCAGCTTTTACTGTTGCAGTTAGGCATTGCTTACTCTGGCTTTTAGACGTGTAGCTAGGTCAATATAACCATTCTTGAGAATACAGACTAGTAGGAAAAATGGCTTTCAGTGTAATTTCTTCGAATACCTTGATTATTTTCTTTTTAGCAAATGAAGGTGTTTCTTTTTCTTTAATCACCACTCTGTATGGTTCTGTAAGAGGAAACTCACTGATAAAAGATGCTATTTTGCCAGGCATGTACATTGAACAAGGACAGGCATGCATAGGTATCATATCCCAGCTAAGTTAGTGTCAGAGTCCGCTACTCATTCCTGTTTTGTGTTTCTAACGGACTGTAGTCCCGCTGACATACATGTTAACCATCCTTCGTGGAGGAAGGTTAATGAACATCACAGTCAAGGAAACAGGTCTAACGCTGCCTTTAACTCTCCCTTACTATCTTCTGCACAGGCATTTCTCTCTTTTTCTGTCCTTCTAAGAGCAAATCATTGTTTGCTCCACTTAATCTTCTTACATTGAAGGAAGGGAAGCTCTGTTCCCCTTCTTTTTAGTCTTGCTGCTTTTCATGTTCACATTCGTGAACTCCAAAAAGAAGTAACAGATCTATGTCAGGAAATAGGACCCAGGCTGCCAGTTCATTTTAACCAGAAAGGTGAGACGGCAGCTGCTGGAGAGCTGCTTGACTATGGTGTAGTTTTTATCAGAAATGGAACACAACCCCAGTGAAGTCTCTTGTCTCTGACAGCATACCCTGAGAAAAGAACATCTACCAGCATAGAGCTTCCATTTACATTCAGGCAAGTATCCTGAAAATTTCAAAGTGGTAACAAATGCATCACCTGACTACTAACTGAACTTGACTGAGTAATAAAGCTGAAGATAAGTGGACTTCAGTGATACATGGAAATCCAGGCAGTAAGTGTTTGCCCTCTAACAGGTTACAGTTGCCCTGTACCTAAGGCCTTTTTAAGTTTCAGAGATCACAGACAAACCCAGTCTGTAAGTGTTGTAATACAGTCACTCACCCTCCTATTTAATTAGCAGATTAATCAGCCAATCTGACTTCAGCAGATTTGCCCCTTTTTGTTGCAGTTTTTGCAAAGCACTTTGGAAAGCTTGTCATGAATGGCATCTGCATCGTAAAATCAAGCTCTTATTTTTTTTGTGGTGTCGCTTGTTGACTTGGAAATAGATGCTGAAAGATTTCACTGCTGTCCAAGGCTGATTTCCTCTGTGACAAAGCAATCTGCGATCAACCTTGGTTCGTTAAAGCAGCTTCTTGACTTTGGAACTGACATTATTTCAGAAAAAAAGCTCTTTATAATTCTTCCTGATTCCTCTCCCCTCTTTTTTGTTTTTTTTTGTAAGTCCCTATAATTGACCCTTAGATAAAGATTGTTGGTGACTGACAGTAATACACCGAAAATCTTGGGGCAGAGATGAGAGTGTGTAATGTGATGGAAAGTCCCCTTAGTTCACTAAGGCTTTCAGTGCTCATCAGCTGCCTGTGTACTCCTTACCTAATCTGCATTGTATTTGTGTTACACTGGACCAAGGACTCCTCTAAGGCTCCTGGTGGGTTGTCTGGACAAACAGTTAGTGGTATAATTGAAAAGTAGATAGCTTTTGTGAGGCTGTTGGAGCTGGTAACTGTGCAGGCCTGTTTACCACTGCATGAGATTCTATTTTCTACAGAATAATCACTGTCCTGTTATATCCTAGCGAATTTCTAACTTGCAATTTTCTCAGCCTGCTCTGAAGCAAACCTCAAGCATCTGCCTACTGATAGTTTCAGTTTATTATCACAACAATGCTTCTCAGGTCTGCCTGCTCCCAAAGTGATTCTTTAGCAACTGCTATCCATCCTGTAGGTCTTCTGTTTCTGCAGAGCTGATACAATGCCTTTTCTGTAGCTGAGGGATGAACAGCTGGCTTCTGTGAGCCACAGGGGTGTTAACTCTTTCCTAGTAGAATCCATGTCTGTTAATGAGGAAAAGCTGATTTACCTGGACACTGTTGGCAGGTTGCACTCTGGGCAGATGTGATAGCATACCTGACCTGACACTCAAGGCTGGTATACTTGCTTAGACAGTGAGGAGGCACAGGGAAGCACAGTACAGAGGATTAGGATACTGATACTTAACACGTATCTGCACTTTGCGCTTTATCATGTCTCTTTGCTTAGTCTTGCCACAATCCTTTGAGGCAGGGCTGATGTGGCAGTGAGAACCAGGCAGCACAAGACATAGAATGGTTAGGGTTGGAAAGGATCTTAAGATCATTTAGTTCCAATCCTCTTGACTGAAAAACTGCTACGTTAAAGTTTCTAATAACAGGTAAGTGTCTGGGCAATGAAACAGAAATTAAAAAAGACAAATTCAAAAAGAAGCCTTTGGCAGAGGTTGCAGAGCACTTTGGAGACCACCATTGCCTTGGATGAGTCTCCTGACCACTGCCTAGAACAGTACATATTTGGCTGTGTTGCTAAGGAAGGTCTAAGGGATTGTCACACCGTTGGAGGAGTGGGTATGACAATTTTGGGCCCACAGTAATTATCTGTTATTGTCTTTCCTAGTGCCAAGGTCAGGTATTGAAAGCGACTGTTAACACTGGGTGTCTACCAAATTTCATCTCCAAGAGCTGCTTAAACCAGCTGGGGTAAGTCTTTGTGCAGTAGAAAAGGAGGGGTAGCTAAAAGCAAATCTGTGGCAAGAACCGAGGCACTCTTGATTCCCAGCCCCAGTGATAATTACTAGCAGCTTTGTATGTGCACATGACTGTTTTAGGAGAAGATGCAGAGGGTGGGCTACAAAGCAAGGTATCAGGAGCACTGACAAAGTTGTGTGCAGACCTCAGAGCTGTGTCATTCTGTGTGTGTGTACTGCAGGGCAAAGCTGCGCAGCTAATGGTTAGCCTCAGTGAGGAACTCAAATGGACAGCGCCTTATGGTTTTGCTTGTGGAATCTGCCTCCAGACATGCTGTATGAAAAAGATTCCTCCTCTTATGGGCCTCTTCCCATTAAGACCATCAGCGAGGAGGCCTGCTTTTCCTCCTTTTCCTCCACTTGAGGAAATAACACCTCTTGTGTCCCACAGGCTGGAAGAAGTGTCTGCCATGGACTGTGGAGACCTCTCTCTACCCATCCCCAGCGTTGTTGGCCGAGTAGAACATATGGAGTTGCAATTTGGCCAGGAAACAGTGCTGTGTTCAGCACTAGTTGTAGGTGAGAGTGTCAGCCCCTTCTCTTCCCCAGTTTTCCTGTGTCCCTCTTGCCCTGCCAAAGCCATTTTAAAGGATCTCTGGGAAAAACGTAATGCAGTGGGAGGCTGGTGATGCAGTCACCTCCACTGCTGGCCAAGATCATTAAGCACTGTGAATACCCTCAATATAACAAAAAGCAAAGGGCATAGGAAGAGTACAGAGAAGACAGAAGATGTTGAAATTTGAGAGAAATGAGGTGGTTTTTGGTCTTAAAGTGTATAACGTGGAAAATTCTCATTTCCTTCTGAAATGGACCTTTCTTACAATTATCCAGCCTGCTTGATTAGTCCTCTGGTGCCCTATGTTCTCCTGCTGAATAGACACTTGTGTCTTTGGCTGGATGGAAGTCATCAGAGAAACTGACGGAGGGTACAGCTAATTCCCCAGAGTTTTTGTCTGTGTACTCATCTGCCTCTGCTGCAGGGAGCACCCTGGAAGAACCTCGTAGCCCCAGAGTGCTGAGTCTCCCTTGGTGTCCTAAGGCAGGACTATTTGAAGGAAGGAGCTGTAGGAGACGTCAAGTCACAGGCACTGGAGCATGCCCAGAAAACAGCAAAAATGCTGCATGTTATGCATTTACATCATGCTACGCATATGCTGAAAACAACGTAGTCAACTTTTTTCCCCTGTTCTTTCTCCCTATTAGTCTTCCAGCTTCACCCTCTTGCCTTTACCTGTCTACTCATCTTTCCTGAGTACTGCTCATCTTCCAAGGCCTCCCTTGCTCCCTGTCCTCTTTTCATGTCCATCCTTCCCACTTTCCTAGTCATCTAGAAAGAGCTTCTTCCTCTTTCACACTCCAGCTCACTCTTCTTCTTTGGTTTCCCCTCTACTTGTTCTTGTATTAGTACCAGCACAGGTGAATTTAGCCTTGTAGCACCTATCTGTTTTTCTGCGATGTAGAAATGGCTGCCTGGAAAGAACAGAATTGCTGTATCTGTGCCTTGCATCTCCCTGTGCACACTGCTCTTGCATATGTGGTTATAAATAAATTAGAAAATACAGCCACTGGTTACAGGGCAAGCAGGCATCGCGGAGGCAAGGGAAGTATTAATGATGTTATTGGTGGCTGCTGAATACTGCAGACTCCAGGACCTGGGAACTTCTCCTTCCCTGCCATTGAAGTCCAGATGGATGACTCTAAGACCTAGGAGGCCACTCTCACCAATCAACAGTCTAATATATGTTCTTAGTGCTAGGTTCGGACAATAGTAAGGCTGAACGTGTACACGAGAGGCACACACTGAGAGGACACAGACAAGGCCAGCCATAGAGATTACCACACAGAGCAGTGCCTTTATCAGCACTCACATAAACACCAGCACAATAGCCCCCTCTCTAGATGACCAGGATTGAAGATCACTAGCAGAAGCTCACACATCCTTAGTCTCTAGATTCACAAGCACACTCATATTTACAGAGTCTTCAAGTAACAGTACAGCTTTTACATCTGTCTTATACTCATGTCAGGACCCTAGCCCCTTAGCTAGCCACTGATCCACACCTTAAGTCTTTCCAGATCCAGTTTTCCTCCTACTCACTGGCTAGACCAGATTGAAGATTGCTAGCTAATTACGTATACAAAACCACAAGCATATAGGATTAAATTAACTTGGGAAATATAAGCACACCCAAGTCTTTCTAGTTTGTGGCATTTAGACCTCTGGAACATATGTCCTGTTCTCTTCGGGTCCTGGCTTATAAACCTAAGGCCACTGTGACCCTGGTCAGAGCTGGTACCCAGATCTCTCTCGCATGCTTGATCTCTCCAATTGCTGACACCTAGACCTAAAGCTCTGTGACCCGTAGTCTTTCTCCAGTTTCTGGAACTTCGACTTTGCAACACACAAGTGGAGGCTCTCCAGTTGCTGGGGTCCAGGTGTATAAGCCCTATGGCCTGTGCTTCCTTCCCCAGTTACTGGCACCCAGGCTTCTCTCAGACACTGGTCTCTCTAACTGCTGGCACCTGTGGAGCGCATCCTCTTCCCCAGTTCCTGACACACCCCTATGAGCCCTATGGCCCGTGGTCCCTTCAGTTACTGGCACCTCTCTTGCACACCAGTCCCTCTGGTTCCTGACATCCACAGCTATTTGCCCTTTAACCTGTGGCATCTTCTACACTTGCTGACACTTAAGACTTTCATCAGTCACATATAGGATAGAGAGGTTATGGAGAAAAAAATTACTTAATAAAATTAGTCAATAAGAAGATCAGATAGATTGCGGTCATCAGGCACAGGGTTCGGTCAGACAAGGGAACTGACCAACAGCCTACTTGCATGTGACTGGCCCCGTTACCCCCTCTCCTCTCCATTTTTCCACGCTTTTTCTTCCCTGATCCATCCTGCTGCTTGCCTTCTCCTGCCTCTGGCCCTTCCCCTATACAGCCCATAGTAAGTTTTACATGATCCCACAAGCTCCCTCAAATATCTCATAGTATAATCATGATAATCATGGCTCCCTCCTACAGGGAGGAGCTACAGACTTCACTTTGACCCTTTTCAGGGCTGTGCCTAAGTAGCTTTTTTAGCAGCTCATCAGTCAGTGACAGAAGAGTGCTGGTCTTTGTAATTGTCACTGTTATCATCTGCTTGTTAATGCTTGTATGTTTAATTCATCAGTTTCCTTGTTATTTATTTACTTTATACTGGATAGACCATAACAATATAACTTTAAGAACCAGGTGCTCTCATATTCCACACCATCTTACAGGACACACACTTCCTTTAGAGGGGCAGCATATATAGCCTTAAGCCTGATCAGTCTCTTCTCTCTTCCCAGATGACGAAATGCTGGAGTTTTGCATTGGTCTCCAGACTCTGTTGTCTCTCAAGGTAAGGAATATTTTCTTAATATAGGGCTCCTCTCAAGAAGTTCTACAAGATTTTGTTGCTGTAAGCATCAGAAATACTTACGACCAGGTCTGCCAGGTTGCCACTTGCAACGCTTGTTGCACAGCTGCCTGGTTGCAGGATGCTCTGAGCCACTGACTCCTTTCCAGTCCTTCTTAAAGGTTTTAAGAAAGGAATAATCCAATAGGGTACTATCACATCTCCCATTCTTTGTACTCCTGACCATACAAGTTGCAAACAGGAAGAGGAAATTGAAGAGGAGACAAGAAAAGGCAAGGCACACTTCCAGCTGCATTGCCTTTTGAAGGCAGATGTCAACAGACTCTGTCCTTGCTTTGAGCCAAATAAAGCTATATGATCACATTCAGGTTCAGCACTAGCTGGACATGAGTAGAAAGAGTCTTCTTTTGTCAGCTCAGTTCAGGGTTAGTGCTCTGCTGAGCCTGACTCTTGGGGGGCACAGAATATGGTTGCTGCAAGATTGCTCTTGCCTGTCAAGTATTTGTAGTCATGTGTCAGACTCATAAGGCAGGAAAAGCATTGGGCTGAATAGCTACGCGATGTGAAGACATCACCTTAAAGGCAGTCATAGGAAGGAGTAAGGGGAATGGCCCTGTGAAGGGTTTGGAGAGGAATCCATTGAATCGAATAGGAGCAAAGACACAGCATGGGGGACAGGGTGAGGAACTGTAAGGTTTCTAAAAGCCCAAAGTGGGGTTGTTTGGTGGTTATACAGACTTTTGCCAGTCATAAGACATCATGAGATTTGCTATCTGAAATGTCCAGCAAGTAACTGGCTCTCCCCTTCTTTAGTGTTGCATCGACTTGGAGGAAGGAGTCCTGAGATTTAAAGCACTGGGTCAAGAGCTGCCTTTTCTACATGCTTCTGAAGAGCCTGGTCAGTGACTGGCTGCATTCCCCATGTACGGGGCTGAGGAGACTTGCTGCCCTCAGAGAGAGATGAGGGTGAGGCTCATATGCCCCTGACTGCTAAGTTCTAGGCTGAGGCGTTCTAGGCTGAGGCATTCTAGGCTGGGGAGTAAGACAAAGGCAAATGGGTGCTGGAAACTCTTGTTGCTAGGAGTGCCTCATCTTGAGCGATAATGCTCCATTCAGTGGACCCTCCTGTTTGACCCATGTGCTGAGTGGCCACTTTGTTCTTGTTTTTCTACCTGTCCCTGTTCACTCCAATTTCTGCTTCTGTACTAAATTCACCCTACCCTTTTAATGACTTATTTTTACAATACCCTCAATTCGTGAGACAAGAGTCTCCATGAACAATCTTCAATAGCTCTGTGGACAGGAGGACAAGCAACTTGTCCAAAAGCCTCCAAAGATCACCATGACTGTTTCCCTTCTCTTTGCCTCAGTGTGAGCAGAGTCCACTCCCATTTCTTTGTGGGAAGGGCTCTGTGGCTAATCGCCTCACCTGTGCTCTAGGGAAGATGGATTTTTTTACTTTTTGCTTGCTCAGAGTGAAAAAAGAAGTATTTTCCTCAGAAAAGCCTTGCAGCAAAAAAAAACTTTAGAGTTCTTAATTCTAAGAAACCTTTGCAGCAATGCTGAGCATAGATGCCTAAGAGTATGGTGGACACACACAGGGGCTTGGACTTTGCCACTGCTTCCTTGGCCACTGAGCTATGCTGTATGAATGGCAATACTTATCATCTTTTGGTCTTATATGTAGTAACCACACTTGCACACCCTGATCTTCTGACCAGGCCTCTTCTCTCTGCATTCCAGCTGCTCTACATTCCTATCACCTCTGCTGTATCATCAGAGATCCTGCCACTCAGTTTAAATGCTATATTGAATTACAGCACCCAGAGTCTTCTGCTCTCCCAGATCCTTTCTTTCAACTTGAAATCTAGTGACTGGACACAGATATATATAATATATGTAAGATATAAGCAGCCTCAAGTCCCGGCATCCCACTGCCCATCAAGTATGCTATTCCTGCATGAAATAAGAACTAGACTTCCCTGCAGGTCAGAGCACTGTGAACTCATCCAGGATGACTATTGTGGTTATTAAGTCACTTAATTGTTTGGTTTAATTATTTTTCTATTTATTTGCATCCTAGAGCATAGCTGTATGATAAATACATAGTCTAGTCTTTACTAGCGCTACGAAAGATGCAGCACATCAGGGCTTATTCCATGCTTCATGACTAATGATGCACTATCCAAACTCTGCACAATGTCCCTTTGTCCATCCTCAGAATATCATGACACCCCATTTTGCCTGTCTTCCTGGATTAAACACCGCTGGCTCTCTTTTATTCAACCACTCACTGTTTCTGTTGCGCTTCTCAAAGAACTCGTGTATGCCTTTGTTCGTTCTTTCCTAAATCCGATGCTGTATGCTGTAGTTTAACACATGCTAAGGACAGCAGAGTACAGCCTGGCTGATATGATTTGGGATACAATTGCTAGTGTTAAGATGGTGTGACTTGCTTCTGCTCCACCTACAAACAGCATCAGGCTAGTGATTTCTATTGTTAGTCATCATAACTTGCAGCTTCTGATCTGTTCCTTGGCTTCTTTGCCATTCTTCTACTTGTGCATCTAACTATATCTGGCTGCATGAACTGCTTTCCATGAATCTCTTGAATGACACCAACATCTCCCATTTATGTCAGGATACATGACTACTCAATAAGACTGTCTTCCAAAGTACCAGTAATTCCTCCTCTATTTGTATAACTTCCATGTCTAACTGGCTTGTCAAACCTAGGGTTTTCTTTACAGTTCAGACCTGTACAAAAACTGTCTGTCAGCTGGAATCTATTTACAATTAAAAATGGCATATGGAACAATGGCAAGTAATATGCTAAAGCTGACAGATACCACATTCATTACAGCTCTTATTGTTAATTTTCATGATTAAAAAAGCAGAAAAACCCTAAACCCTAATCCTAAACATTAAAGCTCTCTCGACCTCTGATCCAAACCCTAAACCTAACTTTGGGCCTAAATCTATCCCCTAAAGCTAACTCTAACTGTAAATTTAACCCTAAACCCAACCCTAACCACTAAACCTAACTCTAAACCTTAATCGCTAGTCCTAAACACTAGCCCCTAGTCATAAATACTAACCCTAAACATAACCCTCTAGATCTAACCCCCAGCTCTAACCATCTAAAATTAACCCCAAAAGGTAAACCTAATTCTAAACACAATGCTAACTATAAACACTAACCACAAACCTAACACTAATTCCCAACCAAACCTATAACCACTATCTCTAACCCTAGCTCTGTCTCTAACCACACTAACCCTTGACTCTAGTGACTAAATATGACCCTGGCCCTAAACCTTAACACGCATCCTAACCCCTAGTCCTAATCCCTAGCCCCTGATCCTGAATGGTAGCCATGAAGGTAACCACCTAAATCTGACACTCTCACCCCAAAACTCTAACCTCATAACCGTAACTCTAATCCCAAATCCTAAACATAACTCTAACTCCTCATCCTAAACACTAAAGCTAACCTTATCTCTAAATGTAACCTTTAATGTAACCCCTAACATAAAACCTAACCACAGAAACTAACCCTAACACTAGCCAAAAACCTGATCATAACCACCAGTCATAACCTTGGCCTAACCCTAACCACATAACTCTAATTCAGTTATTCTAATGCCCTAAACCCAATTCTCTAACCCCAACACTAATCCTAAACTAAATGTTAACTCTAACTCTTAATACTAAACTCTAACCCAACCCCCTACCCTTATCCTAACCCTATCCATAACCCTAACCATTATATCCATAACCCTACATCTAACACTAACCGTAAACCTAACTGTAACTCCAACCCCCTAACCCTAACCATATGTGATGGCTTTTGCAAGTGCCCAGAAGAGACCCTGCTTCCCTCCAGAGCATCCTAGGGCTTTTGCTAGGTTTCGCTTTAGCCAACAAGGGGCCCTGCTGCTTTCCAGAGCAACGCAGGGATTTTCCCAGGCTTTGCTAACACACTGGCAAGTCTCTGCTGCCTTGCAGATTGCCTAATAGCTTTTGCTGGGCTTTGCAAATGCCCACAAGTGGCTGCCAAGGGAAGGTGAGGGCCACTACCAGCTTCAGCTCTGGCCACTTCTGTGTGAGGGCCCCAAGTGGTGGGTGTGCATTTTAGAGCCTTTAGGTGAGGGTTAGGTGGTAGAGCAAGCACAGAGCCCCAGTGTTGATGGGGCTGTGAAGGGACTGCCAAGCGATGTAGAGGGCAACCAACAGCTTTCAGTCCCTGCCACTTCTGTGTGAAAGCCGTGCCTGGTGGGCATCTACTTTGGAGTGGGACTCTAGCTGGGACGAGGGCGTAGGTAAATAGGAATCTTCATGAACTCAGACTGAAGCCAACAGGAACCTTCCCAATGATTTAAAGAGTGCTGGATGGGATTCTAGAGAAAATTGGCACAACTTTGAGTGTATAGTTCTAACTAGTGGCTGTTACTTTATAGCACTGCAGATACCCACACACTAGCTACTGTTGGAATTCACCAGGTGATGTTCCAACGTGTCAGTCATGGGATAACTCTGCTTTTGCTCACCTTCAGAACATCCTCCAGCCCTCTGAAGCCTTTCTGTGATTCACATGCCTCTTCTCATATTGCTAATAGTTCAGGTTCCTCTGAGAATTAATGTGCTACAGTAGGTGAAAATCACCAGCTCTATCTCTGCACCCTCTCTTCTCTGCCTAATGAATCCTTCTTTGCATCCTCTTTCCTTCCCCCAAGCAAATAATTCATTTTTCCACAGCGGTGACAGATTTGCTTCTTCCAAAAGGAATTATTTCCTTTTTAGATAATCCTTTGAATTCTTTCCTGCATCCTTGTTACTAATACTCTCTCGCGTTGTGCCACTGTCTTGCCAGCCTTCCGTCTTTGCTGTCAACAATATGTATGCATAGATGTAGATTGCCACTTGTCAGTCACAGAGGATGTTTCCAAGCAAGAGCTAAACTAACATGTGAAAGCTCTTGTTTTCAGCTGTGAAATCATCTCCAGAGCAGAAGATGTGCTTTTTGTTTTCCTTCAGTCCATGTTAGTTGAACATGTAGGTCCACACAGTAAAGATCTCAGACAAACACTGAGTAATCTGTTGCCAAGTTATCTTGGAACCAACCCATCAAATTTTGTTGCAGGAAGAGCTTACAGAAAAAAGTTTATGATTGAATGAGTACTGCAAGTCATAACACCATGGCTGACACCTCATTTCAACTCATTCCCTAAACCACAGTCTAATCCTACGGTGTCAGTACCTGGTTTCCGCATTGTCAAACAGAACTCCTGGTGGGTTTACAACTCCCAGAGTTCCTTGGCATTAAATGACATGTTTCTCCAAAGACCAGCATTTTTGTGTCATTACATGGGAATCCCAGCTGTCATTGTGAAAGACAGGATCCTGGCTTTAAAAGATGTGATTATAAAACAGGATTTACACTATCTCGATGATGCAAACTCAACCCCATCTGCAAACATGGTAAGTCTTCCTATGTTAGGGAACTCAGTTAAGTAATTTTTAAGTGGGCTGGCAAGGCTGAAGACTGTCTCAACTGTAGCTTCCTTTGGGAAAGCCTATTATACAGATACACTTCCCTACCTCCAGTTCCAGTCACCTCCATTGATTCTGAGGGATCAGGGGAAGGAAGGAGATAGCTAAAAGTCTTTTCCACCAGAGATCAAAAAATGCTCATACTTTCATATGGAAAGTAGAAATTTAGTACAAACTGCCATCTCAGAGCAGGACATAGGCATATCCTGAATGTGTCCAGCACTAGCTTCCTCATGATGAGATCAATCCCTTCAATACAGACACTGGAATATTAGGGACAATCTCTCTGAATCACCTTGGTGCTCAGCTCCCAGTAGGGCTACTTTCCAGTAGAGTGGACACAACAGTTGCAAAACAGGCTGCAGGGAAGTGTCTGTCACAGAAAGTCTTTGGAATAGAGAAGCAAGTGTGACATGGCAGGTGTGAAATACGTATGGCTGAACCTGCCTGAGGATGGGGAGATGGACTTTTGAGGCCCCTTCCAAAGCAAACATGCACTCTGCCAAAGCTGTAATCAGGATCATTTCCAGCAGCTTGGGATCTCTTGGTTTTGAATGGGAGCTCCAGCTATCCATACGCCCAGAGGCCTGCTCCTTCTTTCACTCCTGGTGTGCAAGTTTCAGAACTTAAGATTGCTGAACCACCTACATACTTGCACAGTCCTCCTTTCAAGAGACTCCACTGGCAAATGCCAGGATATACCTGAAGAATTATGGAAATAACTGCATTCAGCAGAGAGACCACAAAAACACGTGCAGGGATGGCCAGTGGGTTTATTATGTCTCAGGAAAATAAAGCAACACCCTCTATTTTCTTGCTAGTAAATTCAGCATCATAACCAAAGCCATGAATCATTTATCTGCAAATGCCCCCCCTGACCAAGAATGCCGCTGGACTCCTCACTTGCTGTGTGCTGGCACTGGGACATGCAATTGTGTCTTGCAAATCCTGCCCTGTCATAAAGCTTCCTGGCACCAGTGGGTATGCCAAACTACTACTGAGTAAAATGCAGCAGACAACATTTTCTGCTGTGTGGGAAGGAACAACTAATTCCAAATGCGTGGCTTGTGTTGTCTGGCAAGGACAAACAGGCAGTGAGTTACAATGAAAGTATAATACAACTATCGTCCTAGAGACAGAGCTCCATTGCTCCTTCCCTGAGTAGGCAATTGTTGCCAGTTGAAGTAGCCTGAAGCACTGACCTGAGAAGTACTCACTTTATTACTTGGAGTCCAGTACTTGAAAAAAAGAAGAAAAAAAAAAAAAGGAAAATAACCTTTTTACCAAGGAACAGCACAGAAGTTCCTATTAATTGTTCTACAGAGAGTTTTCATTTCTCTCTGTGCACAAAGGACACAGGAGCAAAAAGCAACTGCAAGTTATTATGTGTCGTAAGCAATGTAAAACTGACAGGGAAACCCTTGAACATCAGCATTTTTCCTCTCAAATGGTTTTAACAGCAGAAAGAGTTTTGGGCAACAGATGATCTGTAGCATCTGTATTTTCCCACCTCTGCTTTCAGCAATGCAGCACGCCTGGGCTTGCACAGCACACAGCAATGTTATCCTTGGGCCAACAAGAGGGCTGGGTTGCACAGGTTGCCCTGTCCATCATTTGCATTGAGTCTGACTCATTTTCTTTTAAATATGGTTCTTACGAAAATGTCATCACTCCCTCCTTAACCCTTTCCTGTTTCTTCTCAACAATTAACAGTGCAATAGTGGATCAATTTAACCCTCTTTCCTTGGAAATCATTTGACCTGTACAGCAAAGTTGTTTTTCATAAAAGTTTCAGTCACACAACCATTCATAAAACCCCTTGCACTTGTGTTGCTAATAAAGGTTTATATTTGGCATGAATGGGCAACATTGAGTTGTTCTCTGTTATGGCTGTAAACAATCCTGTTTTGCTATTAGGCCTTGAGAGGGACTTACAATACAGCAGCCTGCAGTAGCCTGTAAAATCCAGCTATCAGATTAGCTCAGCCTGGCCCAACTCTCAGCCAAGTAAAATGCTCCAGGCAATTACTGCGGGGACCTGTGGGGTCTCAGCAGTGGATGAGGAGATCGAGTACATCTGTGAACACCTGCCTCACCAAAGCCAAACAATGCTGAATAGAACCATGAAAGATGCAAGTTGTTGTAGGGCTTCATCTGTTTTTTGTCAAAGCATACAAAGCAGAAGAGCCCATCAGCTGCACAGAAGTACACATCCCAGGTTGTGTGAGCCATGACTGAAAACTGAGGCATCGCTGTTTTCTGTTGCTTGTAACCACCCTGTTTCTATCCCCCGTAGGAAAGGCAGAAGCCATAGAATTAGGAAAGGGGTGTGGGGGGCAAGTAGGACAAGAAAATACACAAACTTAAGACAAAAGGTAGGGTGTTCAGGACAGAAGAACGGCATATGCCAAGCCATTCAACAACATCTTGGACATTGCTACAATGTCATTTCTGTTATATGCTTCTGGAAACTGCTCTGCAGAGTCCTGCTTGACTGTGGTTCCTCTTCATGTCAGTTGCACTAATTGTGAAGTGCAAAATTTCTGCCTAGCAAAAGGACCAGGCAGAAAGCACGCCACAATACAGTAAACCAAACTGCTCACCCCACCTGTAGGGATACCTGCTTCCAGCCAACAGGAGGAAATAAGAGTAGCAACTGGTACTTCACCTGAACAGAGAGGAGGTGATCAGAAAGAGAGCAGCTTTAGCATCTGGGAAACAGAAACCTGGAAGTAGCAAGAAACCAACCGACTGTGACTGTTAGTAGCCCCAACAAGACTCATCCTCCTTGGGAAAGGACTAAGAGACTGGTGAGAGCCCAAGCGGTCACACTAAGTTATTTGCCAGAAGCAATAATGACTGCCCTTGGGATGGGTGGCTGTACCTCTCAGAATCACAAGAGGTGACAGTTCCTTGAGGTTGCAGTCCAGAGCTGACACACTTCAAGAGTCCTTGCCTTAGCCCATCACTAGATGCTGCCTGCAGTATCAGCTCTCCTCAGCTGACAACCTCAAACCTCAACCTGCTGCTCTGAACACCACTGTTACAACAGCACTGTTATGACGTGAGAGCTCCTGCCTGAAGGGTCCCGTTGCACACTTAGTCTGACAGGGGAACATCTGAAAATGCTTCACACTGAGGTCATCAAAACGGAGAGAAACTTCCACTGTAGTTAGAGACTCAGAAGAACGAGTGGTCTGAGAAGCAATGACTGCTAGCACGTACAGACCAGGTCTACCAGTTCACTACTCCATGCTTCAACTTTCACAGCTATCAAATTCAGAGTACAGAAGCTGTTCTTTATAAAGCTTATATAATCTACAGATGGAAACTGCAAGAGGGGGCTTAATGTAAAGATCCTGCCCTTCCACCACAGAGGGGTACTTCAATAGTCCTTTTGACCCAAAGACAAGACACTCCTTTCTCCTACACAAAGTTCTTCCAGTTAGGGCTACCCTTGGACATTTTGCAGAGTGCAGCACAGGAGGCTTTCAATAGCCTGCAGGATCTTTAAATGTTACCATTTGCTCAGACCCAGATGCAACCCTCTCGGGCTGCTGTAAGAGCAATGGAACAGGTACATCCATTACGCATGTCCAGTAAAACATCACAAAGTGAGGAAAGGTAACAAATGCAAAACAGCAGGTCAGCCTGCTGCTCCTATCCTAATAAGCAGAGTTAAGCAAAGGGCAAGCTGAGATGGGGAAAAGCAGAACACCAGCAACATGTGGAAAGGTTCCTGCCTTGGCCTTTGCATACAAGCAGCCTGTGTGAGCAACCGCCTTTTCCAGACTGCATACCAGCAAGTGGAACATTATCTCCAGTCTACTTCTTTCAGTTGTGGAGGACTCAAAATAGCATGGCACTCTCCACAATAAGAGGGAAGCATGGCACTTCCACTCCTTATTATGGAATGGCCAAGCTCTCTCAACACCACAGATCCATGCTTAAGACAGATTCCTCTTATTGCTCAGCTCACAACTGCTTTGCCAAGTCACAGCCATCTCTGGGATCACCCTGCCCAAGCAGATGGAGAAAGCAACGCCTCTTGAGCACAGCTGAGTTCGCTGCAGCTGCTACCTCTTGATAACATTGTTAGTGCAAGTTGAGGTTCTTCTCAAACATGTCTCCTGCTCCTCAGAATAGAAGGTAGTCTGTGAGAAACTGCTTGGTAGAAGAGCAGCAGTAGAGAAAAAACAGCACCTGGGTCTATGTTTAAAAACACCCCTAGATGGGAGAGAAAGCCCTTGCCTGCTCCCTAACTCAATTCCTCTATCTGCAGTTCCTGCATGGGGATTCTGCTAAGAACTCAGAAGTAATCACCAGAGCAGTTGTAAGAACAGGCCAAAGCAGAGACTGAACTCAGCTATTCTGTCCATTTATGTCCCCAGTGCTCCTCCTCAGTCACCTGTAAAGTGCCTTAGCTAGCAGAGAACATGGAAACTGGCAACAGAAGGCCAATAAGCAGGACTCTGGACTCAGCAATGTTCTGGTAGCTTCCTTAGCTAAAACCAAATCAACCCACCACTTTCACTCAAGCTGACAATAAAGCACATCCCGCCACAGAAGCTGGTCTGTATGCCCTTTGCTGTCTGGAAACTTTGACAGAGATGGGAACAGTCTCATCTTCATTAGATAACTGATTCCAGTTTCAGAAGAGTTTGTGCAGGTATTAAAGTTGTCAGCCTCCATGTGGCTTGTTATAAGGGATCCTGGATGACAGTGCAGTGGGCAGAGGAGTCTATTCCAGCAGGCTCCTGACACTGCGTGGTGCTGCTCTGCTGCCGTTTCTCAGGAAAATACAGTGTTTTGTGAATCAGATTTTTGACAGCGGAAACATCATTTCTTTCTACAGAAAAGATAAGACAGTTGTTAGGGATTCTCAGCAAGTAGTACACTAAACCCCCTACTCCTCAAGAAGCATGTGAAACTCTAGTTACCGGCACTTCATATGCCAGCAGGCCTTCCTCTCTGTTTTCGCATATATATCCACCCTTTCTGCACTCACCCACACCCAGCTGCTGCAGGAGACTTCCAAACTCTGGGTTACAATCCAGGATTTTCAACAGGTTGGTGGACTCCATTCTCTCCAGCTGCACATCCCAGTAGATGTAGATTTTCTGATTGAAGCTGACATAAACCAAGCAGGGGCTGTTGCTTCCTCCTTTGCATGCATAGAGGCCTGCGGAAAGGCAAAGGCAAGGCTCAGGCTGGTTCCATGGAGCTCCTTGTCTCCACTTGAGAACAGTAAAATAAAAAAAATAGTGGGGAAGACGAGAGACCCCTGTAACACTCCCCAGAGAACACAAAAAACCCCCCCAAACCCAAACCCATCACAGACAAACCTTGGCATCACCTCCTCTCACCCCAGCTTTTCCCAGATGCCACCAGAGGAAAGACTTGCTGGGTCTTCTGCAGTAACACACACAGGGAAATTACTTCCCACTACAGACAGACAAAGGACTCCAGGTCTCCCTGAGGGGAGTAGTAGCTTTGAGGGAGAAATGCTGTGAGGACTGCCTTTGCAGTCAGGCTCCACACCTGCACAGAATGCGCTGACATTCTCATCTGCTTGAAATCTGGCAACAGTCCGATTGTGGTCAATGATGTACGTCTGACCATCCCACGCACAGGCAATCACCTCCTCGTGCCCATTGCCCTGTAGGAACCATAAGGTCACATATTAACATGGACCTCAACTATTTCCAGGGGCAGTCAAGAACTTTCCTGATTGTTCAGAGACATGCACACTATTGTCTGAATAAGATGTCACTTCTGGATGCCTTGTTCAGTCATTTTGCAGTTGTCCACTCTTTTTGCACTTGGAGACCATCTCTCTCTTCTCTGTTGTAATCCTTATGTATCATAAGATCTTATAGACAGAGTATTAGCAATGTGTAAAACCATTTCACTTTGCAATATGATAAAAGAACAGCTGAGGGACAAAAAAGTTCACAGCAGGATGCTGGGCTCACTAGGTCAAACACAGCTCAACCTCTTGCAGATGGACAGACTGACATGAGTGCAAAATGCATCAGCACAGTCAGAGCACTCTGTGTCATCCTGAGATAATCCCAGCCTTTTTCAACCAAGTCATATTCCTTCTGCCCTTCTTATATTCCTACACACAAAACCATGCCGAGTTTTTGCCTTGCTCCCTTCCAGCCCCATTCACAGACACTCACAGTTACATCCAGCTTTTCCAGAGCAAACAGCTGGTGATCAACCTGCACAGACCAGAGCAGCTTGTCTGCTCCCTCCATGAGTTTCAATGTCCCTAAAGGGAAGAAAAAAAAACTTAAAATAAGTTTTGTCTTGAAACTATTAGAAGGGAACAAGATGTTTGCTAACCCTGGGCCCTACACATTCTGTCAACAACCAGGGTCTGGCGCAGGCAGAACGCTGGGCCAGTGGTACAGGCTGTGTTTGATAATAGGTAACAGTGGGAAGCACAGCAGCCCATTATCTTGCTGTCAGTAACTGGAAACAGGAGGAAAAGTGGCAGCAGCCCTACTGAATGGACTGTGCTTTACGACAAGAAGAAAACCGGCCAAAACTAGGCTCCCAAAGTACAGTACATCAACAGATCTCACATGAGACAGTGAGTGAACTCGAAGTTTCTCACCATGCCCTGCAGATCATGTCATCTCAAGACAGCATGTTGACAGTTATCAGCTGACAAGTGGCTGGCTAATAGCATGGCATGGCCTCTTGCCTGCTAAAACTATACTGGACACCTACCTCACATAGGTATTTTTCTATCATCCAGATATATTGTGATAGTACTGGGGAGTGGAGAGAGGGTAGCCATGAGAAAGTGGAACATAAACATGAATCTAGCTTCACAGTACCATCCAGCCTTGTTATAGCTTATGAGTCAACCAGAGTGAGGCAGGAAGCCTTGCAGATGCAGAAGCTTCAGAGTTCAGGCCCACAGAGTAATCAGAAATTCCCCAGCACAAAATCATTGGGAGGGTGGACATCTGGCCCAAACAGGCCAGGCTGCAAAGGGAAAGCACAACATACTGTCTCCACATTGTGCTTTTTGGACAGAAACCCTGCATTCAGCTCATTAGACCAGTCCTATTTTGCACTTGGGGCACAGCAAAAGAACCTGGTTCCAGGCCTGTTGTGAGGCCAGCTCCTCTCTACCAATACTCAAGTTCCAGCATCCATTCCTTTTACTGCTTTTGAAAACAATCCAACTCCTTCCAAATTCTCTCCTGTGGTAGTCTCTCGTCTACAGGAATGGCACTTTTGAATTGGCATCTCAGACAGTTGTTTGAAAAATGGGTAAGCAGGCAACTTAGAAATCAGCAGCTGAAAGTTCTAGTCTCACTCTCCATCTCAAGCTTTCAGTGTGCTTTTGGGCCAATGACCTAGACTTTTCATTTTCCCAGCTTCCTGCTGCAACATGATACTGATACTTCTACCCAGCATAGGCCATAGGACCATACAAATAATTAAAGTTTGTAAAATGCTTTGAAATCCACAGATTAATACACTGTACCAGGGGAGCGAGAAAGGCAGATATTGGTAACAGAAAGAAAACACAACAGGTTTTCTGGAGAGAGCAAGCCTGTGCTACACCAGTAGCAGTGAGGAGCAAAAAGACAGGCTCAGCTTTAATGTTTCATCGGGCCCTCAGATACAGGCATGTTATCACGTACCTGGTTTATGGGGGACTTGATCACAGTAACAACTCTTACCTTGGCTTCTGTCTTGGTTTTCATGCCTTCATAGAAAATATGTCAGCAGAAGTCTTGGAGTCAAATTCTCCTGCCTGACTCAGGAAGTGTTTCTGAAGCTCAGCTCCCCTTCTTTCAAAACAAAAGGCACTGTGCCCCTGATTCCCTGCTTTGAATCAGTGACAGGCCCTGGCCACCCCACAGGCCTTTCTTCCAGGACAGCAGTAGGACTTACCATCCAGAGTACAGAGGGCAAAGAGACCTGAGCCACTATTCTCACTGGAGGAGCCTATAAATGCAGAAGAGAATTACAAGAGTTGATGCTGTTTTCTCAGTGTTGTCCCTGCCATCTCTTAAAAAAACCCCAACAAAACCCAAACAAGCTGCTCCATCCTGCTTCCTTTTTGCCCAGCCCTGACATTCTGCTTATGATACCTGCAGATTCTTGCAATCAATTGTACTTCATGACTTTCATTTGTAGGACACTGGCTTCTCAAAACTCAGGACCTTCTGTCACTTGGTATCAGCAGGTCTGGCTCTGCTAGTTGTTCTTAAAAGAGTTTGCCTGTACCACATATGCACTTGCAGGCCCATGGCAGTTCTGATATTCATCACATCCTCTCTATGTGATGCATGAGCATAGGCAGGACCATCACAAGGGACAAAGTAAAGAACAGTTGAATCCAAGCAAGAGTATTAAAACTCCCCTCACTGTTTCTTTCAAGGGCAGGAACACGGCCTTTGACTGTTCTGGCAAGTTACAGCATCAAAAGCGAGGTCTCACCAGAAGGACAAAGCTTTAGTCACATTAGCACAAAAGCATTTCATGGCAATTCCTGAATGAGTGTGTACAGATCATGCTACCACCTCTACAGTTTTTGTTACAGCAAAACTGTACAGAAGGTGTGATCCTCTCCCACCAAACACTGGTCTAGAGACAAACACAAGAGCTAGAGAGCCCTTTACAAGCAGATTAGACATGTGTAGCTCATCTACACACTCAGCCCTGGTTTTCCTGGACTATATTTACACAGCTGTAAAAATCCTGCAAGCAACATTCTCTCTAAAATGTCCTATATACCACAGCTGTGTGCAGGACAGCACTGACAAATGTGACTAGATACATCTGAAGAGGAGACTCCCTGACCAGCAGGCTGGTTCACCCTTCAGTACACTCTCTACCTAGCTACCAATCAGAAAAGACATGCAAGGTCAGGTTTTGAAAGTGGTGTCACACTTGGCAGGACTTGGAGCTGTATTTAACTAAAGCTGCATTTCATCCTTTCAGTGACAGTGCAGGAGAGACACTGTTTTTCTGGGGTCTACAGGAACCCAAGAGACCTGGCAGTGAGGTACAAGCCAGCAGAGCTGAAAGCAAATAGGCAGTTTCCCCAGAGAAATATAACACTGCAAGCCTACCTCCACTGCCCATAGAGAGCTCCAAGCTATAACAACCTGCACACTTCCAGAACACAGACTACCCTGTCTCTGCAGATCAGCTTAAACCAAACCAGCTGTTTTGACTGCTCTATTGCCCCTAGCTGACATTCATCTGTACAGGCTCTGATCCAAAAGATCTGCTGTGCTCCCCTTACAAACTGGTCAGCATGATACTTTTAGGCTGTTTCATTACCGATGGTTCAGAATTAGTGGACTTTTCCCAACCTTCTCTTCATCCTTTACTGTGCCTTAATTTTTTGCAAGACACCTTCATTAGATGAAGAGCTTAGTATGCAGTGAAATAACTGATTTCATGTTCTGTTGACCATGTTGCTTATAGCAGCATCTGAGATGCTTAAAACATAACAACTTTGGAACTGAGGAGGAAGAGCTGGGAAAGGAGAAGAGAAGGGGGTTCACTGGACTGCTCTTCTCCCCCAGCTCTAAATTATATAGGGCAGCCTAAACTGCTTCCAGACAGCACTGCAGAGGGTAGCACTTGGACAGAGCAAATGCAGCTAGATTTTCTGCTTTCTTGTATTATGCTCACAGGCTCCAATGGGAAGTGAAAGCTGCTTATCCTCCATAGGTATCAAAAGAAGGGTTCGGCAGATGCACCAGGCACACATCAGAGCACACAGCATTTACACAGGGAAAGCAGTGGCAGTGTGTAAGAAAAGTCTGGACACAGAAGCAACACGTGAGGGCTGAGAGGAATGAGTAGTTCTGGAGGGTTTAGATACAACAGCTGAATGGAATACACTGGAGGGAGACAGAGGACAGTGATATAAATTAAATAGGGAAACTCTGAAGGGATTGGGACTGCCTAGGTGAAGGAAGAGCAGGATACAGATGCCAGGTACTGGGAATCAAATGCTTAAGCACACAAAAGAATAAAGCTGAGGCTGTGGAAAGGAAGAGATGTGTCTAGGGAGTAAGAAGGGCATAAGCTGCAGCCATGCAAAAGACCAAGGACATCTGCAGAAGCAAGGCATGGCAGCCTTTTACGATGACTAAATGCAGACCAGTGGAGGCTGCTGAAAAACTGCTGTGCTAGCTGAACAGCTGGATATACCTAGGGAAGGCACAAAGCTATAGGAAGTTCAAACACAATAATCCAGCTGTCTTTCTTTGGGAGCTGGCTAACAGAAGCAGAGCTCCCTCTGTTC